TCAACTATTTTCAAAAATTTTAATAAAATTCTTGTCAATATTTCAATTATTTTCAAAAATTTTTCTCAACTCAATGATTTTCAATATCTACTATTTTTTTAACGTTTTCCAAAAGAATTCAATTATTTAAGAAAAATTTGATGAAATTCTACTCAAACATTTAATTATTTTCATGAACAGATATTTCACGGGAATTCAATTATTTAACAAATTTTTTTTTTAAATTTCTTCTCAATAATTCCATTATTTTTATAAATAATAAAACTCATCGCAGAATTTGAATTATTTTTAATACAATTTTAATTGAATTCCTCGAAAAATACTTAAAATCTTATTAAAACTTATCAAAAGAATTGAATTATTTGAAAATTTGTTAATACAATTTTCATTGAGAATTCAATTTTGAGAAACATTATGAATTATTCAATTAACTATAATAACCTTCGTATTTCATTCTTTATTCAAAAACATCCATAACTTTTTTTTTAAATAAATATTTAATCAATATTATTTTTCCATAGGAATTAAGAATTTCAAAAATTTCAAATTCAAATCTTTTTAAATTCAATAACTTATAAGAATATTTTTATAAAACATGAAGATAGCGATTGCTCCTAGTCGACGACTCGAAGTGATCGATTTCTTTATGTTTTATAATAATTTAAGATAACCGAGTGATATAAACGCATTGTTTTATATTATAAGAATATTATTACAGTAACTTTTTCAAAATTATTTTCATCATTTCAAATAAATTATTATTTTCTACAATTTTTGATTATTTTTTATGAAAATACTTAAATTCATTAAAAAAAAATTTATTATTTATAAAAATAATTGAATTATTGCGAAGGAATTTATAAAAAAATTGTAAATAATTGAATTCCTGAGAAATTTTTATTATTTATGAAAATAATTAAATGTTTGCTATTTTTGGGAATTTGAAATTGATTTGGAAATAATTGAACTTTGGGGAAGAATTTTGTTATTTAAAAAGATAATTGGGATTTTGACGAAATTTTTTTTTAAATTTGAAAGATAATTGAATTTTATGAGAAGAATTTTATCTCTCTTGAAAATAATTAAATTTCTGCAATTATTTGTAATTTTACCAAAATTTTATTTTTTTAAGTGTTTTGAACAAAAATTTGAATTACAAATTTTTAAATTCTATTATTTTTAAAATTGTTAATTTTTCCTAAAAAGTTAGCCGTGCGCTTCAGCGCGCGAATTGTTCATGGTGAATTATTTATTTTTGTATTTATAAAATTGAATTCCCTTGGAATTCAATTATATATGAATTTATAGTATATGAATTTTAAGAAATAATTTAATTTTGAAACAGTTTCAAATTAAAATCTTGGAGAATCTTAATTTTTCATACTATTTAACTAACAATTCTGTAGAATTAGTTTTCTTGAAACAGTTTAATTGAATTTTTTTTTTGAATTATAAACAAATAGATTTGAAAATTCTCAAAGAACTTTTTCAAAAATTATTAAAAAAAATTTAGTTAAAAATTCTAGAAAATAATAATTGAATTGAAAAATTAAATTTTTTGGCAACCTTGCAACGACAGGTTAAATTTTATGTTACTAGCTAAATCATTTCTTATTTACAGAAAATTGTACCTACAATTTTTATTCAAATGCAACTTTAAATTCTTTAAAATGTTGAGAATTAAATTCCTAACCCTTCAAACCAAAACGAATTTAAAATTTAATTTCCCTTTTTCTTTTAAAATATACTAAATTATAACATATTGGACTAATTTTACTAAATTTAAATATCTTTATTTTTGCACTTTAATTTTCACGAATTTTCCAATATTGGAGGAATACTTGAATGAATACTTTTTATTTAGAATTTCCAATATGAAAAATCAGTTACAGAGAGCCGATAGGCATTACTCTTTTGTCCCCTCGAAACAGTATACAGTGGAAAATCATTGATTTCAATGGGGACGTAATAACCTCGAGGATAAAATACTGGCGTGACAAAGAAAACGCAAAATTGAACTGCGAGAAAAAATGCAGACCAGACGACGAAGCCCTAAGGGAAGAGCGTGAAATCAATGCGAGAACCTTCCTTACCCACCCTCCCTCCCCACCGATATCGAGTGATTCTCCAGAGGACCTTACTTTATCTATATATATCTTTTCACTCCTATCTATACTATTCTCCTTATTTCTATATTTCCGTCTTGTTTTCTCTCTCTCTCTCCTTTTATTTCCTTTCAAAATTCCTTCTTATCCCTTCTTATCAGTCTATAACGTCTATATGATATTATCCTCCTAAGGCCACTGCGCACGAAAGCCAGACCCAAATCCTCTTGAGGACTGACCTTTTCTCATATCTAGGTAAAATTCGCAGTATATTGAAAATTGCGGAGAAAAAAGTTCTCATTTAGTTTCTGGTTCAAAATTTAATTTCTCTTTTTAACAATTAATATCAATTTTAACTTTTTGAACAGGCCTCGAACTGAATTCGGAAATAAAAAAATAGTTTCGTGTCATAAATTATTCGTAATAGTTGCAAATAGTGGCACATTTTTTATTTCCAAATAATGAATATATTTTCTGTTTAAATAAAAAGCGTTATTAATGTACACCAAAAACACAATTTAAATTATTCTCACAATAACATTTTTTTTGCATTTTTTATTAATTATAATAAAATTTTCGAGGAATAAAATAATTCCTCCACTTGAGAACGCTAAGATCGCCACTAGGTGGCGAGGAACTTGATTTTATCAACTGAACTGCCATCTAACGGTGACCTTGGCGTTCGCAAGTGGAGAATAGCTTCTCTATATTGAATCTCAAGATTTTCGTAATTCAATAATAATTATTTACAATCAGGCATTGAGTGCAGAGAGTTTAACAATTAATATAAATGGATTTCAATTTTTTATTTATTTTATTTTAATTATATTTTTTCAGAGGCCTGGAAATAGGGCCGATTTAACTTGCAGTAGTTAATGCAAAAATACTTAGTACTATATTTAAACATCCATATCAAAAAATAAGAACAGAGCGTCACAAGTCACAATAAAGAAAAATAACTTCAACTACTTTTTACATTCATATACAAAAACTTAAATATTACTTTATAAAATAAAAAACTATGTACTTAACTGTCTGATAATTGTCATAAAAAAACTCGTTGTTTCAATGAACGAGTTTTTCTGGGCGCTTGCTTTAATGAACAGTTTTAAAAAAATAATAATAATAAAAAATAATAAAATAATAATAAAATAATGTTAACAAAATAATTATAAATTTATTAATTTATTAACAATTGTTAATATTTATTTATACTTATTGTACTAATTATTATTTATACTCAACACATTGCAAAAAAAAGGATTTTAAAAGTAACTTTGTAGTCACTTTTAAGATATCTTAATTATGCAGTGCAGTGCAACAATTATAATTATTTATTACTTTTTTAATTATTATTCATACGATTACTTCATTAATTTATTATTTTTTATAATTTATTTATTCATTATTCATTCGATTATGAATGAGAAAAATTTTTATTTCACTCACTTTAGATGTAAGTACCGCGGTAGAATAATTTAAATTTTACATCGCCTATTTCAGTAGTACGAAAAGATTTACTTAACTAAGAAAAAGCGAAACGAGCGCCACAGTGGGAACAATGAGAGGAAAAGAGAACGACAAGAATTTCTCTTTTACTCTCATTGCACCCACACCGTTTTACACTCCGCTTCTCCTTAATTAAGTGCCCGAGGTACCATTTAAGTGTGCAATTTAAAAATATGACCTATTCTGATAAAATTTTCATTCCGTTGAATTTTCAGTCTGTTGAATCTTCAACCTTTTCTTCAGGACAACTACCACGGTGGATTAATAAGCGTGGTAAATAAATATTTGTAAATATCCTCGACTGTCAAATTATTTGAAAAATAAAAATTATATTTTAAATAAATATTTAATCATTATTAGCTACTTTTTGAACTGTATTATTGGTTTTAATTTTTAAATTCAAATTTTTCAAAATATTTCGGGAAAAAATCTTCTGAAGTTTAATTATTTATAAAAATTGCATCTACAAATCTTCTCAAATTCAATTATTTCTAGTGGTTTTAATTAAAATTATTAGTTAGATAAATTATGAATTTAAAAAAGTTCCTAAAAAATTAAAGTATTTTTAAATTAAATTCAATTGCATGTTTCTAGAGTTTAATTATTTTCAAAGTAAAATGAAATTCAATATTTTATTTTAAATTCAACTTTTTAATATGAATAAAGAAATTCAAGAAGAATGAAATGTTTTCAATATTTTAAAAAAACAAAAACTACATTTTTCATCAATTATAAAAATTTGATATTTTTCCAGAACGTACTTTCGATAAATTTCCCTGAATATTCCCTGCTTTTCTCGAATAATATAACTTTTCCTGACCTGTGACAATCCTGATAAAATATTTTATGCACATGCCTCGGGTCGACTTAAAATAGCAAAAGAAAATCAATTTAGAGTATAAAAAAGAATCGAAAAAATCATTTACTTTATAGTTAATAATATTAATATTAATTAGTAATATTTTTTTCATAATTACAGTTATTATTTATTGTTAAATAAATTTTATAAATTCTTTAAGAAAATCAGTGAATACTGTAAAGAAAATTTGTTCAAATAAATTTTCAAAATAAAACTGAGACAAATTTTTTAGATTTAAATACAAATGAAAAAATTTTTAACCAGATTTAGATTTATAATTAAATAAATGATAATCAATTGTATTTTTTTAAATTTACTTAAAAAACACCCTGAACTGATTTTTCTCAATTTTTTTTAAATCAGACAAAGCTTTTGATTTTACACGCCAAAAGGTTTCAAAAAGAAAATTTTTTCCTTCTGATAAAATAAAGAAAGTCGAAAAAATCCTATAATCCGAGACCGGTGTGCATGACAACATGAAATAAAAAACAAATTTTGTGACGCTATGTTGCTGATAAATGACTTACCCCATTTCTGATAAGACTGCAAAGTTGACATCTGAAACAAAATTTTTTAAAAAATTAGTTTATTTTTCAATTCTCAAATTTCCATAAATATATCAAGTCTCGGACTCACGCGATAATTGATAATCTTTGACAATTTTTTCTTCTCATATATAACTATTTAGCTATTTTTTTTTTATAAAAAACCTTACGAATGACACTTATTAATTAAAAAAAGAAACTAATGGTACTATTTCTTAAACCGAGATTCAAAATATCATTTTATTTAGTGAAGAAATTAATTCTAAGACTTAAAAAAAATTGAAAGGGATAAAAGTATCGAAAAATAAAGTAAATTAAAAATTAAAATCCGTTTATATTAATTGTCTAACTTTCTAAATTTGATTATAAATATTTATAGAATTACGAATATTGACGAACATCTTGAGATTCGATATGGAGATGATTTGTTCCACCTGAGAACGCCAAGATCACCGCTAGATGGCAGTTCGGTTGATAAAATCAGATTCCTCGCCACCTGCTGGTGATCTTGGCGTTCCCAAGTGGAAAAATTTAACCACCATAATTATTAAAGAAGTGTTTTTGTGAAAACTGTTTATTAATTTGTTAAGACTATTAATTAATTTGGAAACTTTTACTAAATAATAACATAATTAATAATTATCAATTTGTAAAGTTTACAAAATAATGAGATAATTAATTATTATAGATTAGTAACGTTCACTGAATCAATTAGTAGCCTCAAAAAATGAATTATTAGTTTTCTACTAATAATTAGTATAGTTTTCAACTAAGAATTACTCAAAAAGTTCACGAATTCATTTAATATGAACAAATCGGTCCAATTTACTAAAGTCAAAATTGACTAATTCAGAGTTAGAAAGTAAACTAATTTTATCTACTTTAATTTAGTCCAATTTCCAATTGAAACATTTTTTTCTCGCAATAATGATAGTTTTCTCACGACGATAATTAAATTGATCATGCAAGGAGGAGTTATATTGATCAAGTATAATCAACCAGTCACATCATGTTAACGCTAGCGTTAATAATGTATCAATAATTAATTTCAAGACACTTATATATTGATTTCCCTTCATTATATGATAATGGGAATAAGTGTTAAAATACTGCCGTATATATACATGTATATATAATGAAGGTGTATATATAGATAAAATTGTCGTGAGTAATTTGTAATTTGAGTTGATCGAGTGTTAAATGTACTTGAAAAGAATTTATCAAACGCGATAACTTCCCTTGCTCCTACAAGTCGTTTAAATAGACAGATACATTGAAAACCGATCAGTAAAACATTTTGTTGTAAAGTAGAACCTCCTCAAGAAACGAGAACGTGACGAACAGGTTTTTCAAATAAAAGACTGGTTAGAATCATCATCATGAAGGAGGAAAAGAACAAAAAAAAACCAGTGTAAAGAAGACCAATGAACTTAAAAAGATAATCACTCGACTTCTTTCTATTTTGAAATAAATCCCAATTTACCTTAACCTACACTTAAACCTCAATTATAAAGAATTCCCATTGATACAAAAAAAAAAAGAAAAAGTAAAGCACTGAATTACGTAACATCGAAAAGAATATTCTCTCAGAAGATTAAACAAAAATATAAAAATCCAAATTATATAAAGAATCCAAAGGAGAGAAAAATTAAATAATGCAGAAAAAAATTAATGCAATTAAACAATAAATTTTGTCTACAAATACATAAAAGCAAAACAAAATTTTTCCCCAATTTACTTTCTCTAATTTTATCTATTAATAAAAATTATTTACCATTTAGTTTTTCCCTTTTTTAAATTACAAGACAAACGGCGAAATTATTATTGCAATTTGTAATAATATTTATTTTGTTACTGAAACCAAAAAAGAGGGACCGCAAAAAGTGCCCGTTTTTTGTACATCGACAATTATCACAAAACGTAAGTAAAAAAATTCGGCCAAAAATCTTCTTAATCTGCGTGAAAATTGTAGTTGATCATAATTCTTGGTTTTTATTTAAGGGTAGCCAAACTCCTAATTCAACCCTCTAAATATTTACAAATTATGAAATTCATACCACCATAAATTCAACAAAAATAATTAATTATCAACGGTAAAACTGATAAATAACTAAAATAAAAAATCCATTTTATAAAAAAACAATCTCAATTACCTTAAGATCCTCAAAATGCTTTTCAACCCCCAAAAAACTACCCCTATTTGAAAAATTGACCAAAATAAACACAAAAAAAATTATTACTCTCCAAAATCTTCATCAAAATTATAAATAAAATTAATTAACTAGTGAGACTTAATTTCCTTGCTAATGTAGATTAATCCACCCTTCAAAAACTACCCCTAATTAAAAAAATTTACCACATTACACATTTAAAAAATTATTACTCCGCAAAATCTTCACGAAAATTATAAATAAAATCAACTAACTAGTCAGACTTTAATTCCAGGCTAGAGTTAATCAATCAACCCCAAAAAACTACCCCTTATTGAAAATTTTATTATATTCCACATTTAAAAAATTAATACTCCGCAAAATCTTGACGAAAATTATAAATAAAATCAACTGATCAGCCAGACTTTTATTCCATGGTAGAATTAATCAATCAACCCCCAAAAACTACCCCTAATTGAAATTTTACCATAATACACATTTAAAAAATTATTAATGCGCAAAATCTTGACGAAAATTAAGAATAAAATCAACTAACTAGCCAGAATTTAATTCCATGCTATAGAAGATTAATCAACCCCCCAAAAACTACCCCTAATTGAAATTTTATCATATAACACATTTAAAAAATTATTAATGCGCAAAATCTTCACTAAAATTATAAATAAAATCAACTGACAAGCCAGACTTTAATTCCATTGTAGAATTAAGCAATAAACCCCCAAAAACTACCCCTAATTGAAAATTTTACCATATTACACATTTAAAAAATTATTAATGCGCAAAATCTTCACGAAAATTAAGAATAGAATCAACTAACTAGCCAGACTTAATTTACTTGCTAAAGTATATTAATTAACCCCTTAAAAACTACCCTTAATTAAAAAATTTACCATATTACACATTTAAAAAAATTTTACTTCTCAAAATCTTCACAAAAATTATAAATAAAATCAACTGGAAAGCCAGACTTTAATTCTATGGTAGAATTAATCAATCATCCTCTAAAAACTACCCCTAATTGAAATTTAACCATTTTACACATTAAGAAAAATTTTACTCTTCAAAATCTTCACGAAAATTATAAATAAAATTAACTAACTAGCCAGACTTTAATTCCATGTTAGAGTTAATCAATCAACCCCAAAAAACTACCCCTTATTAAAAATTTTACCATATCACACATTTAAAAACTTTTTCCTCCGCAAAATGTTCACAAAAATTATGAATAAAATCAACTAACTAGCCTGACTTGATTTACTTGCTAAAGTAGATTAATCAGCCCCTCAAAAACTACCCCTAATTAAATAATTCACCATATTACACATTTAAAAAATTTCTTTTACACAAAATCTTCACGAAAATTATAAATAGAATCAAGTAACTAGCCAGACTTTAATTCCCTGCTAGAGTTAATCAATCAACCCCAAAAAACTACCCCTTATTAAAAATTCTACCATATTACACATTTAGAAACTTTTTACTCCGCAAAATCTTCACGAAAATTATGAATAAAATCAACTAACTAGCCTGACTTGATTTACTTGCTAAAGTGAATTAATCAACCCCCCAAAAACTACCCCTAATTGAAATTTTACCATATTACACATTTAAAAAATTTTACTCCGCAAAATCTTCACATTTAAAAAATAATTACTCTGAAAAATATTCACTAGTTAGTCGATAAAATTTATAATTTTTGTGAAAAGATTGATGAGTAATGATTTTTTAAATGTGTAATATGGTAAAATTTCAATTAGTGGTAGTTTTTGGAGGGTTGATTAATCTACTTTAGCAAGTAATTTAAGTCTGGCGAATTAGTTGATTTTCTTTATAATTCTCGTGAAGATTTTGCGGAGTAAAATTTTTTTAAATGTGTAATATGGTAAATTTTTTAATTAGGGGTAGTTTTTAAAGAGTTGCTTAATCTACTTTTCCAAGTTAATTAAGTATGGCTAGTTATAGATTTTATTTATGATATTCGTGAAGATTTAGCGGAATAAAGATTTTTATATGTGTAATATGGTAAAATTTTCAATTAGGGGTAGTTTCTGGGGGTTGATTGATTAACTGTAGCATGGAATTAAAGTCTGGCTAGTTAGTTGATTTTATTTATAATTTTGGTAAAGATTTTGCGGAGTAATAATTTTTTTAATATGTATTGTGGTATTTTTTTCAATTAGGGGTAGTTTTTAAGGGGTGGATTTATCTACTTTAGCAAGAAAATTAAGTCTCACTAGTTAATTGATTTTATTTATATTTTTGATGAAGATTTTGGAAAGTAATAATTTTTTTTTGTTTATTTTGGTCAATTTATCAATTAGGGGTAGTTTTTGGGGGTTGATTGATCTTCTATAGCATGGAATTAAATTCTGGCTAGTTAGTTGATTTTATTTATTATTTTTGTGAAGATTTTACGGAGTAAAATTTTTTTAAATGTGTAATATGGTAAAATTTTCAATTAGGGGTAGTTTTTGGATGTTGATTAATTAACTGTAGCATGGAATTAAAGTTTGGCTAGTTAGTTGATTTTATTCCTAATTTTCGTGAAGATCTTGCGCAGTAATAATTTTTAAAATGTGTAATATGGTAAAATTTCAATTAAGGGTAGTTTTTGGGGGTTGATTGATTAATTGTACCATGGAATTAAAGTCTGGCTGATCAGTTGATTTTATTTATAATTTTCGTCAAGATTTTGCGCAGTAATAATTTTTTTAATGTGTTATATGGTAAAATTTCAATTAGGGGTAGTTTTTGGGGGTTGATTGATTAATTCTACCATGGAATAAAAGTCTGGCTAGTTAGTTGATTTTATTTATAATTTTTGTTAAGATTTTGCGAAGTA